AATGGTCAATAATTGTTCATAGTTCTTTTTGGAAACACTTGTTTCCAAACAGTTGGGCAGAGTGAACAAAATTAAATTTTATGCTTGAATAATTATCATTTAAAGGACAGAATCAGTATCCAATAATAGAGCTATGTGTTGTTTGTAGACTTAATCTGCAAATAATATCATCTCCCAATACATTGTTTTAGAAGAGAGAGGTAAAAATACATCATCCTTTTTAATCTAAAATTAATCCCACTGAGGGGGAGGAATACTTGTCAGCATTTAATCAATGGTCAATAATTGTTCATAGTTCTTTTTGGAAACACTTGTTTCCAAACAGTTGGGCAGAATGAACAAAATTAAATTTTATGCTTGAATAATTATCATTTAAAGGACAGAATCAGTATCCAATAATAGAGCTATGTGTTGTTTGTAGACTTTACTCTGCAAATAATATCATCTCCCAATACATTGTTTTAGAAGAGAGAGGTAAAAATACATCATCCTTTTTAATCTAAAATTAATCCCACTGAGGGGGAAAAAAATGAGAGGATATCCTTGAAGTATATCAAAGAACCAGAAAAGATAAAGGAAGGTGGAACAGACTGTCGCTAAGTACCAGAAAGTGGCAACAAAAACAAAAGGAACTTTGATTCTGTACTCTACTTATATGTGCTCAAGAAATATTTGGCATTTTGCCATTAGAAGAAATAAATGCTGAATAAGAAAGATGGGCTTTGGAACATTCATTGCAGAAGAGGTGAGCAGATGCTTCAACTCCGTGTGAAAGTCAAGTGTAGGTTTAGTCTGCAACTTTATAATTGGGATTGGAAACCTATGACTTCCCAAAAGATACTGGACTCCATTTCTCATTGGCCCCAGCCAAGTTGATTAATGGCAGTTGAAGTCCAACACATCTGGAAGCCCAGAATTCATCTGGAATGTATTGCAGTATAAATCCTATAGGCACAATGAGCAATTTTGTAACAGTAGAAATGGTACATATATTTCTGTTTGCTTTTTATGAGAAACTTGTAGAAGTATCAATAGAGGCTACCCTTGAAAGCAAATAGGTTTAGAGAGGTGAATTTTAATATTTCTCCCATGACAATGAGAAGTCTTTCATAGTCTAGAGTCTGATCAAGATTTTCTGATGCTGTTACAGTATTTATGTGACAAAAAATATGCATATGAATTTCATCCACACAAATAGCATTATATTTAGCTTGGGCCTAAGAGATTGTTCAAGAAATGGCTAGGCTGAGAAGAAAAGTAGCTTTAGTCATAATAGTAAGTTTATATAAACCAATGATCCAACTTAGCATAATAGAATATGGAAAACTATGTAGGGTGATACCTTTAATACATGTTACAGAGTTGTCAAGTTCAGTTGAGTGTTTCATTATCATACGTACATTATGATTTGCTTTCTATTTTATAACATTTATTTGAAAGCAAGCACTAAAACAATATACTTTCCACTTGGTGTACAGGGCAAAGGAAATGAACTTATTTTTGCTCAAGATAAAAATCAGCAGTTCAAAGAAAATAAGAGAGTAAGTTCTGGCTAAGGACAACTATGTTTCCCCCAGTGTTATTTTTGATAAACAGGAATTGGTTTTCTTTTCTTTTTTAAAATAGTTTCTTTTAAAAATGATAAAAAAGAAAGAGTAATCTGTGACATTCAAGCAGTACTTTGTTCTCTAAAATACATTTTAACATCTTTTGGCAGGTTTAGATCCAGATAAACATCTAGGAAAAACATTGGATGAAATGGAACCTTATCTTTTGGAAGTAAGTATTATTGAAAGTATACATTAAATATATGGTACTTCAAAATAATAAATTTCCTGTGGATAAAACTAGTCACACTTAGTTCTTAAAGCATGTAAGTTTAAAAAGAAAACATTAGAACATAATTTAGTAAACTGAAAATAAATACTTTATATAATCCATATGTATAGTTTTCCTAATCAACAAAACATATGTGTCCTATTTCTTTGAGAACAGTTGATTAAAAATAAAGTTTGGATATCATACTAAAAATTGATTGATTATGTGCCATCAAGTCAATGTCACCTCTTAGCAATCACATAGATTTTCTCCAGGAATCGTGCTCAAAATAGACCCACTGAAGTTAATGAAGCTTTAATTAGTAAGGTGTAGCATGAGGGCAGCCCCTTGCTTTCATATCCTTAATGTGAGAATGTTTTGATGCAGCTTACTTTTTTTCTTTATGATGGGAAAAAAAATCTAAAAGGAATGCATGAATTGGAAGGAATCACCAAGAATCAAGTTGGACTTGAGAGAAATTTTTACATAACCTTTTAATGAGAAAATACTAGGGCTCCACATGCTTCTGGAATGATTTGGAAGAAATGTCTCAGACCTCATTCAAATGCAGCCTGCTTTATCCATTGAAACATTATTTCTGTACAGCTTTTGCATAAGCCTGGAAAAAGATTCTTGGGCTTTATGGAGTTACCCCATTAAATTTAATATGATCTTAAAGCAGCTGTAACTTTTTTCCCCAGGCTTAACATTGTGAGAAAACAAAGAATGTCATGTATTCTGGATTTGATCTTCCAATGTATCAAACAAATACAAAAAGCACTACTTTTCAGGAATAAGGAGGAGCAGCAAAGTTCAGAATACAAACTTTGCTACATGAAATATTCTCTAATAAGTCTCATTTCTTGAATCTGACATATTACTGCTATGAGTTGATTCTACTTCTTCTGAGCCTTTAATATTTTATTATTATAGATTTCTGAAAACTGAAGATTTCCTTGTATTGAGACAAACTTCTTTACCCTTTTATGTGTTCATTTACTTTTTGATTTGGTGTGTTTTCCCTGCATAGGCCAGTTTCTTTCATATTTTAATCACTAAAACATTAGAAAATGTTTCCTAAATATTTTGGGTGGAGGGAAGCCCAAAAAATGTAAAATATATATTTTTTTTAAAGGGGGGAAAGTATTGTCTCAGAAGTTTTCTTGATTTTTTCTTTTCCTACATTTTCACATCTCTATGATTAAGGAGTGCTTTGATAATATTAGCTTTGGAATTAACTTTTCTTTAGAAATTTGCTTGAAAAGTCTAAGCAGTTGCTAGAGAGAGATACTTTTAGTTGTCATTTCCAGTTTAGTTTTTTTATGTATTTGGGGGTTTCATCAGAAAGCACCCTTTTTTTCTTCCTGTAAAGGTAATCCTCATTTAGCAACCACAATTGGGTCTTGGTTGTTATCCCAACTTGATTGTTAAGCAAAGTGGTTGCTAAGTGAAACTGTGACTGTGCTTGTGATCTTACTTTAGCTTTCCTTTGCTTTATAGACATACGAAGGTTATAAGTGCGAGGATTGGTTGTAAAGATACTTTTTTATCACAGTCGTAACTGTAAATGGTCGCTAAACGAGGCAGTTGCTAAACAAGGACAACCTATATTAGCATTTGTGACCTTTGATTATATGTTATAATTATATTAATCCCTTTTCAGTGATTTGTCACTGGAGCAGTTTTATCACATACATTACAGAAAGCTGTTGCACTATCTTCACAAACACAAACATATATACGTATGCAAAGACATGAAAGCTGAGATCAGATCTATGTGAACTTTTAAAGTCACCTATTCTTACAACCTTGTAATGTAATGTTTTTCCCCCTCAAATGAGATAGTTTTTCATGCATTTTGTCATGGTTGAACCATGACAGTTGTAGCCGAAAACTACAGCAGTATAAAAGAATGTTGCTCAATAAATGCTCGTTTTAGTTGGGTTTGTGTTTTCCAGTAAATGTCAGCATACATAAATATTTTACTAGATATTTAGCTAACTTTATAACTTAGTGAAACTGAAGCATAAACGCCAGCTGCAGAGAAAGTAGAGGCTACAGTTCTAAAAATATTTCCTTTGAATTCTGTCAGGGGGTGGTTTGTGTGTGTGTGAGAGAGAGATTGTGAGGGGGAGACAGATAGCAGTATCAGAAGGAAATTGGCCAACTTCAGAAATGCTCTTTTAGACATTTGTCACTTTATAAAGTTCTTATTCTTAAGCAAGCTGTAGTTGCCCTAATACCTTAGTCCCCTTTTTAGTTAAAACAATCTAACACAAATAATTATATATAAACTTGCATATTCCTGTCTTCAGATTTTTGCCAACTTGAATCTAGAAAATTCTAGATGACAACATTATATCTAAAGGCCATCTACAGCCTTTGAGATGTAAAATTAGAGATTTCTGAGGTCAGCTTTCACAAGGTTAAACTACTGTACTGCATTGTTTAGAACAGTGTTTCCCAAATTTGTCACTTTCCAGATGTGTGGACTTCAACTCCCAGAATTCCTTAGCCAGAATTGCTGTGGCTGAGAATTCTGAAGTATGTCCATCTGCAAATTGCCAACACTGGGAAATATGAGTTTTGGAGCTTCAGCTGTAGTTTACAGCTGCCCTTCCCCTGAGGAAAGTTGCTATAACCATGCTTAACCAGTATTTACAGTATCTATATAGACCCTCATTGTCTTCTGCTTAACAAGTGTCTTAAATAGCTTGACAGATGTAAACCCTCTAGTCTTTTGTTACCTCCCAGATTACCAGTTTGTATGTCATTGATTGGTTGATTGATTAGGTACCATCAAGTCATTTTTGACTCCTAGTGGCCACATACTGTATGTATGGCATGATAAACCGTTACTATTTGTACCTAGAGTGAGTTATATTTCAACTGCAGGTATATATTCTCTCTGTTTTTTCTTTTTTCCTCCATTGTGGTTATACAAAAGAGATTGGAAGCTTTTGTGTCATTTTTTACTTCATGCCACAGCACTCAAATTGATCTTAGCTGTTGTTTATTTGAATCATGTTAACTTTATAACCTATGATCTGAAATTGAATTATTTCAGACAAACTATAGATCAGATCATAATTTGTTGGGTTCAGACAAAACAAAAATGCTTAAAAAAAAAGCAGAGGCAAAAACTTTCAGATTCGTTGTGGCCACACTGGAGGAGTAGGAAGATGAGTTTATCAACCTACTTAATACAGTTATACTGTCATACTGTTACAGCCCATAGCTGTAGGTGTGTTGACTAGAAACCTGAGCCCCACATTTGCAATTCAGTAGCCCACAACTAAAATATGAGCAACTGGAAACGCATATAATCTACATTTATATAAATGCCATATATTTCTTTTGAATCCATATTGTAGTTTCTCAACTTTGTCCATAACAGATTATTTATCTGCCTGACCATTAATAAGCAGACAAAAAGACTTACTTGGTCTGAGATTCTTCTAATGATAGCCAGAGCACACGAATGTTCTTAAGATATAGGTGCATTCACACAAAACAATTAAAAAAAAAGGATTCTTGAACAAGTAATTGTGCCGTAGTTATAATGGGTAGATTCTATATATCTATATCTATATCTACACCCACACCCACCCACCCTCCCCATTCTTTATCTTGACAAGGCTGACTGAATGTCCAAAAGGAGATTGGAAGCTTTTGTTTTTGTTCTAGAGTGACTACAAGTTTGTGTGTTGTCAGAATCTTAAACTGTGGTTAGTATGTTAACTGTAGTTGATTATCTTTACTAAAAACTTGAAGAATGTATTTCTTGTGGAAGAAGCACAATCAGCCTCTCTTAGAGGTCAGAAGTGCCTAGATTCCTTTCCTGATCAGTTACTGGAGATTTGTCTGGAACTCAAATACTTCACTCACCCTACCTTATTAAGTGCATGTGCATCTTATTATACGGGTGTGTTGCCTGCATTTAATTGGGAAGAGCTTGCAGCAACAGGAAGCTGAGATATTCCAGCCCAAACAGTTATCACACCAGTGGGAACTCTAAAGTGTTTGAACTTGATGTCCAGGAAGGATTTGTGGCATCAAAGAGGCGTTATTAGAACAAATAATTTTAGGAGACTTGTAAATATTGTTTCTTCTTATTGGGAAGTGCTTAGTGGATGTTTCAGTGAGGAAGAACAATCATATATTTTGTTCCAAATAAAGCTACATTTTGTAGCCACTTATGCCTGGCCTGGTTTCCATTTCCAGCAGTTTTCCAGCAGTAATTTTGGAAGGAGGAAGAATAAGTTGTTTTGACTAACTGCTTTGTAAGTTGCCCATTCTTGCTGCATCAGCATTAATTATTCTTGATGGATTTGTCCTACAAGAAACTTACAGCAGCTTCTGACAGGTGGAGCTATCTTTTATGCCAGCAGTGTAAGCTTTGGAAGTGAAAGCTTAAGTGAATGTTGGTTATTTTTAGACAAAGAGATATTTACTCATTAAAAGGAAAATGTCTGATAACACAGGTCCTGAAAAGATAATTTGATCTTTATTTGAAAATATATACATATTTCAATTTGTCATCCAAAATGGGTAAACAGACATGATTTAATTATCTGACAGATATCTTCCTTTGAGCTATATATATTTTCCCAAAATAAAATATTAAAAAAGAAAGAAAGGAAAAGAACCTTCTTAAATATTCCTTCATTTAATCAACCTGTTTGATTAAAAAGAAATACAAGAATTATGTTTGGGTGTATTTTTTCTTGCAATTAAATGTCATGTTATACTGGTGTCCAGCAGTGCCACATCATCCATGATCTTTCAGTCTCGAGTTTGAAAATGGGTAAGGATAATCTACTTTTCACCAGGACTTTGTACAATTTAAAATTCACTACTCTGTCAGTCACCTTACCTAACAATAGGAGACAGGAGACTGGCCTATAATTTCCTATCTCTGAGGGGTGCAGGGCAGGCTTCTTAGGTAGATGTATAATAATGACCTACTATAAAAAAAGGAAGCACCCTGCTGTCCTTTAAAAAGACATTGAAAATAGTAACTATCTGTGCCTGGGCCCGGGGCCTCAAGTGTGTGAAAGGTCCCATCTTCTGGTTGTGTTGACAACTATTGATTGTGACATCCTCCTTGGCTACTGTGTATTTTAATTTTTGTATTTATGAAAGCAGTTTGTTTTTTAATTTACTTTAAGATTGTTCGCCACCCAGAGTCATTTGTCCTACAAGTTGAATAAATAAACAAAAAGTCTAAGGAGGCTTTAGTTCTCTCTTGGCTAAGTTGTCACGCTGAGCTAGGAACCAGCGGACGAGTGCTGAAAAATCAGATTCCAACATGCAGAAAAGCCAGACCTATGAAATATTTCAAGTAGGAACTATTATTAATCTGGAAGTCAGTTACAACATACCGTGTAATGACTGAGAGAACCAGTAAGACAAGCAGATAAAAGATTGGCAGAATGCATCCATAAGCATCAACTGGCTGCCAGAAGACATGAATGAAAATTAATTAATTTCACAGGACATAGGTAAATTCAGTTCAATGTCAGCTAGATTTTAGATCAAACTAAGGCTAAGAATGCAAGCTTGGCACTGTAGAAGCTTGGCACTCTGACAAACTAAAAATAAACCCTATTTATGGAGCATATATGGCCTTGAATCACATCCAAAATGTGGGTTTCTTAACATAACATCTGGTGATGACGTTACCTAGTCTGCAATTAAATATCTGCAAGAAGAAAGCCAGACTCAGAGACAACCAAGAACCCAATAAATAATCCACTGTGGCGGCTTTCCATTGGCCATCTGTATTAGCTCTCCTTTAATAATTTAATATTTTTATCCCACATCAGTCAGCTAGTCCTTTGTTGATGCTAGCAGTGTCAAGAATCCTCTGAAGGCTATAAAAGATTAGATTTGATAGAAATGTATATCAAACAGCTCAAATTAGCTAGTTTCCCTTGTCTATATTATAGATGAACCATAAACAAACTCGGGGATTACTGTTTATATTTTCTGCAATAATTATAATCTGAACATTATGTGGGGTTTTTTCCTCAATTTTGTATCTCTGTTCTACCTGGTCTAGTGTACCTGGAGAGTTATATATATCATCTTTCCCCACAATAATACAATTTATTGAGATTGTGAGTTTGTTTGCTTTTTGATTAGTCACACAGTGCTGGTTTGTTTCTGTTATAAAATAAATTCATGAACGCAAAAACAAAACAAAAAAAACACTGGCATCAGTAACATAACATTGTATTTTAGCATTAATACAGCAAGAATAGAGTGGCAGAAGGGCACAGCTGTGTGTTCAATCCAGAGGGAAAATCACAGGTATGTTTCAGCTTAGAGAGACATTCTTGATACTAGCAGCCTCAGACAACTATATGAAAACCCAAGGTTCTGTACCCATAATAAACCCTCAATCTTGCATTGGTATATAACTGTACTTGAAGTGATGTAACTGAACTGTGTGTTGAATAAGGATTTGGACAAGCTGATGGCAGTAGCCTGCTGGTAGTACTGTAAAGATCAAGAGTTCTAAAGACCTGCAATTGAGACATGGTACTTGCATCAACAAACCTTGAAAGTGAATAAATAGGGCTGCCACATTTGCTATAGTTTTCTGCCATCTTGAGACCTCTCACTCAACTTCCTTACCTGATGTAGCTCTAAAAAAATAAGTACAGCATCTTGAACCCCACTCTTTGCTACTCTTTAACTGAAAACATTTATCATACCTAGATGAGGATTGAACTGAAAATAGAATCAGCAGCCTGTCTTAGGAACAACATAAGTTGCCACCTTACACTTTATCTGGGAGTAAGTTTCACTTAACACAGAAGGACTTACATTACTTTCACATAAAGATGTGTAGATTTGACCTGTACAAACCTTGATCTGCTGTTAGCATATAACATAGCTTTGAATACTGCCCATTTCTTGCATATTTCTCACTTTATTTTTCACAACCCCTGCCTCTGGAATGAAGTTCCTCCTGAAATCTGGAGGGCTCCCACCACCCACGACAGCACTTCCAGAGGGCCTTATAGACCTGGCTGTTCTCCCAGGCCTTGCCTTAGGGTGGTTAGAGCCCCTTGCAAGCTTGGTCGATATATCTTCTTTGTGCTGTTGGCTGTAGTTGTTTGTGTTGTTGGCTGCACTTGCCATCTTGTTCTTTACTTTGTCCATATTATATTTATTTTTGTTGGTTTTGTCTTTTTAAATTGTATTGTGTTTTCTTTGCTGTGTTGTGAGTTAATTTAAACTCAATTTATAAGTACTCTCTGTAACATCCCTGATAGCATTTTGTCGATTTTCCAGCTTTCTCAGAAGTATGGAGTCCATATTTGTGGAGAAGGGGGAGAATATGAAACATTCACATTGGATTGTCCTCTGTTTAAGAAGAAAATAGTTGTGTAAGGACCCATGTCTTCTCTTTTCTTTAAATGTTAGCACTGGGAATGTACTAATGTTTAGCTTTAGGCCACTTTTCTTGGCAGCAGAAGAACATGTCCTCTAAGTTCACAAACACCCACTTTGTTTAACACTGGCAAAGTCCTCCACTAACCTAAATCAATGCCTGACAAGACGGGGCCTTCATAGAAAGCTATAAACTTTTTAGACATTTGCACTTTCGTTTACTTGCTGATTATGGCCTGCAGTAAAACTGGTACCTACACACTGACACTTTTATCCTTTCATGAAGTGCGAATTGCCAGTAATATTTATCTTTCATTACAGCTACATTTGATAAACTGCCACATCAGTAGCCTGTAGGTTCCATTAACTCTGTTTCCCTTTTCTCTCCCTCAATCTCCCTCCCTCCCCCTTTTTTCCGTTTTAACATTAGCAACTTAGAATGATAATGCTAAACATTTTGTTTGAATCATTAAAGGATGTTTTTGAAGGCTAATGTTTTGAACCTGTCCAGCTTGCCCTGAGTAGGTTATTTCTTTGCCATGCATTCTTAAAATGTATGTGTAGATGTATGGGGGAATTTCTTATACCTATGTAGATTTGTCATTATAATTATGGTAAAGAATTTAGCCTGCATGTATTCAGGAAGATATTTTGATGAAATCTATTTCATCTGAATTTACAGTGTGTCTGCTTTATCCCATGTTCAGATCAATAACTGCAGTGAAGAATGATAATTTGTTTACAGACCTCAAATATCTCACTTGGGAGTAACCCCAGGTAGATACACTTTGACAAAATTATCTGAGTTAGAGAAGTTCAAGATGAAAATTATCTTCCAAATAAATGTAGGAAATGTTGTTGGATGAATGTGTCAAGTATATATTCCCAGAAAGAATATATATATATAAATAAATCATACTTTGAAGAACATAGAATGCAATGGACCAGCAACCTTCTCCAATCTGATGACCTCCAGATGTGTTGGATTATAATTATAATGCCAGCTAGTACAGTTGTAAGCAACAAGGTTTGGGGATTATGAAATGTATGGTCCAGCTCATCTGTAGGTCACCAAGTTAGGGAAAGTTGAGCCTTAAAATATGTTAATTCCCTAAGTCTTACCCTTAGCTACATTATGATTATCTTCAAATTTCCCAGATCTTTTGTACAAAATTATTTTAATATCCTGCCCAGAAATTCCTTTGAATCAGTACTTGAGTACAAACTCTGTGAGCTCAGCTTCACTCCTATTTTATTCTAAATGAATAAAGGATGTGATCTATTTGTTTTTCAAGGATTCCATTTAGCGTGTAGTGCTACAGTTCTTCAGTGAGAACTTCTAGTGGGTATGAGCTGCCTTCTCAGGTAAAGCAGATAGCTTCCATAAAGACATGGTTCTTTGTGGTGATTCCCAATACCTTTCCTTTGGACTCCAGATCTCACGTCCCCACCCCCATTTCCTTTGTATTCCCAACAGAAATTCAATCTGTCCTCAGTTGTATTAAGTAAATTAAATTGAATCCCATTCACATTCCTGGAGCAAAGATTGTAGTTATCTGCAGCTGTTCCTTATAAAAAACAACCACAGATTCAGACTGATTTAAGTGCCATAAGTGGTAATATAGTTGTCATACTATACATCTACTGTACATAGTTCTGCATACTTTTTTCTTCTTTTTTTGTAGAGTGCTTTCAAAACTGAATATGAAAATAAAATGCTATTTTTTCCAGTACACTTTTTAAATTCTGTGTTACAGGGATTCATCAGAAGTGGTTGTACATTCAGCCGATGCATTTGCCCCTGTGGCTTATCTCCGCCTGTTAAAGTTGCATTTAGAAGATAAGGCAAGTCCAGCATTCCAGTTAACTTTATTTTTATTCACATTGTCATTTAGAATCTCAGGAAAGATGCCATATTTACTGGTAGGAAAATGAGGGTTTTTTTCCTCCAAATAATTAGTTATGAATTGGACTGAGGGAGTGTTGTTTTACATTTACCGAGAAGAGATCTGGAAACAAAAATATATTGGAGGTACAAGTGATTGCAGAAATTCCTGCTGAACATGAATGTCTTTGAAGCAGAAGTATCATTTGAGAATGTTGGATTGTAACTCTGTGTGTGTGCATGTGCGCATATGTGTACTTGCATGTTTGGGTGAGAGAAACACGGTTGGTAGAGACAGTTGGGAATAAATTAATTTTAGTCAGTATTTGTTCATTAGAAAAAGAATGTGATTTGATCATAGTTTTAGTGCAAGTCTGAAGTAGCATAATAGTGAAATGACAGGATCAATTCACCAATCTCTCCTAACAGAACTATAGAGAGTACGGAAGAGGTCCTTGACACAGTTATGCAGGAGCCATTGCCTAGGCAAAAGCGGTTGAAGCATTTCTTAAGTCCAGAACATCTAGAACCATTTGGAAGTGGTTCAGAAAGATGCTTCCCTAATTCACGGAACTATGAGAAGGAGGAGGAGGTACAGCATAATCAGACTTGCAAGATTCTGTTATTACAGCCAATCTCAATAAAAGTAGTTTTAGCCTTCCTGTGGAGTTGATTTCCTGGTCTGGTCCAGCCAGTAGGGCTGACAAGAATAGGGGTGATTATAGAAGTCAGCATTTGCTGTCTGTATAAAGAAAAGAAAGGAAAGAGAAATAAATCCTAAATAAAAGCACTGGTTGTAATCAGTGTCTTTTGTAACTGTAATTTGTATGTGTTTGCTTTTTAAGTTATTCAATTCAAACGATGCAGAATGGGATGTAGAAAGGAGGGTCATGGAAAGGAGTAGAGATAATGCACAGAGACCTGCAGTTAGGCCCACCCCATTTCTGATGTGGTGCTATGATTTTTCACCACCAGCTAGTGAAGCACTGAAGAAGGAAGGCAGCAAAACCAGGGTCAGCAATCATTCATTTGGTTTATTATGGGCTGTATATGGATAATTAGGACAGTGCCATTCAGCATGACTTGGAACAGACTCAGTAGAGGCAGGATAGGAATCAGCAATAGGGGCAGCATACTAAGATATTACTGTGATGTTCATTTCAAAGATGTATGTATATGTGTATACACACACGCACACACACACACATTATAAGCCTAGAGTTGTTCAAGAGGGCAGCATGTAAGTAAATAAATAAATGCTAGTATAGTTTTCTGCTGACTTGGAA